TTTTTCCAATTATGTATAAAACTAAGCAGCAAATATAATAGTAAAACTATTGTTAACATCTATTTAGCGCATTGTTTCTCAAAATCGGTCCTGGAGGGCAACTGTCCTGCAGAGTTTCTATTGATCCTTAAGACCTTGATTAGCTTGCCTCTGGTGTGTTTGATCAGGGTTGGAGCTAAACTAGGCAGGACAACGACTCACCAGGACCAATTTTGAGAAAACCAGATTTATAGTGTTACATATGCTGCCCGCGGTTGATGTTAATTTAGCAGCATATCAAGTTTGATAGCAATACCTCTTCATCTAGTGTTATTGTTAGTCGTCCCCAAAAAACAATTCTTACGTTACGTTTATTGTCTCGTAACGTTTCGTTTGTCCATTTAGGGGTACATTATCATCGAAGACATTTCAAGCCTCTTAGCTAATGTTACATTTTATCAGAAGAGAAAACATGTGATAACAGGTGAAAACAGGATCGGATCTGTGGATAACGTTAACTGTATCAAACGCTAACTGTATCAAACGCTAATAGATAACGTTACGGTGAAATTAGCTATCACATTAGCAATTTAATCAAACATCCCACGATACATTTCTATAACTTCCCGAAAAAATTCCACAAACATATAAAACAAAATTCAAGTGGAAAAACTAAAAGCATCTTACTTACCGATCCAAAAGAAATGTTGCTAGTTCGGAGTCGAACTTCATTTCTTTCTTTTCCATTAAAAGTCGCCAGCGATGGAAAGCAGTGCCTATATTGACTCTGGTTCTGCTCCTTTTTTTGTCCGATTTTTTTTGAGCATCTGTGCGAGGTTTTTTCCCTGCAACGGGTGGTTGTGGTGTGGCTAAGGCTCTCTTGCCAAGTGCTTCAGACATTTTTCCGCACTCGTCTCTTCTCTGAAGTGAAATGTAGTAATGGGCTGTACTTTTAACATGATTGACATCAGGTTCAAGTACGCCCACAAGCCGTGCGAGTTATTCGTGGATTACAGTGTGAATGCTGGTTGTGTTCCCCGCTTACCGCCGCCCATGGCCGAAACTGGTATTACAACACCTGACGGGCCGTGGCTAGTAAATTAGCATGCTAATTTAGGTTTATATCTCGGCAGCAGTATAACTTGTCAACTTTTTAAAGACATCATTGCACTTATTTCTTCTCATTCTTTTGATGCATGTAGCTCATTTTTGATATATTTTAACCTCAATTATTACATATGGCACCTTTAATGTCTAAGCCTGAACACACTTGAAAAAATTCTGTTCCTCAATAAAAATAATTTCTAATCCTTCCTTCGGTCCTCTACGTCCCCAGTCTCATAAGCACAACACAGCACAAAAATAGTAACAGTTCAATACACAAAATCACCAGAAACAATTCTTAACCTTTACCACACCACACTTTTCTGTTGCACTTTACTTTATTACACTCCCTCCACCATAAGCACTGCACTCAACAGTGTAACTTTTATTGTTCATACTGTCACTATCCAAATCATTTATGAATAATTAATTAACTCTGTGTGTGTGTGTGTGTGAGAGAGAGAGAGAGAGAGAGAGAGAGAGAGAGAGAGAGAGAGAGAGAGAGAGAGAGAGAGAGAGTTGTCTCTGTAGAAGTAAGTTCAGACAGAATATACATATTTTATTTTATTCCCAGGCAATGGACAAATGTCTGCTCAGGTATTTGTATTATTGCAAATGAAAGGTTACAGACATTAACAGTTAGAAGAAAAAAATAAAATAAACAGGACAGGGGACATCATAAGTCTGCTCAGGTCATCGCTTCAGAATTAAATAATTTGTTTGCTATTTCTTTGCACAGTAGCTAGGTGTCACTAGTGAGCAATACTGAATGAAGCTTCGAGTAATGAACCTTTGAGTGAAGCAATGGGCTGCGAGGTCTCAGTGGTTCAGGAAGCCTCATTTTGCCATCACTAAATGGAGGATACACAGTGGGAATCCGGGAAACAGGCAGAGGTCAGGGCAGGCAGCAATAATCAAAATCCAAAAAACAATCCAAAGTCAAAAACCAGAAACCAAACACGGAAAACGCTCAGAAATGCAGTGTAACACTTAAACAAGACTTCGCAAACACTGAATGTGAACACAAGGTATATATAGACACACTAACAGGATGAGACACAGGTGAATGCAATCAGTGAATGAGGTACAGGTGAATGTGATCAGTGATGAGTCCGGGCAGTAAGTTCTGGGAAATGTAGTTGTGAGGGAAACATGAACATCTGGTGTGGAGTGCCCTCTGGTGACTCTCAAGGGCACTCCACCTGGTGACCGTTACAAATGCAGAATATGCAATGATAAATATTTAATTGATGAGTTGTTAATATATATAACAATACAAATATATGTGTATGGTTTTACAGCTAAATTCAGCATATTGACACAAAATGATAACTGCAGATCCACCTTTCGCTCGATCGATTTTCCATTACGATCCATTTGCTCCTCTTTCTATAGCAGTCTGTAAAAATATACCTCCAATATTTTGTCAAATCTACAGTTAATCAATCGCAAAGCTCTTTTCCACTTTATATGTGTTGTGTTTGTTTTTCGCGGCATTCACGCTGAAAACAAATACAGCCGCTCAGTCTTTTTGCCACTCACTGTGAGGAAAGGCAGGCACTCCGGCCGACGGTGACGTCATATGACCCTCTATAGGTAAGGGTTTGGGACTAAGTTTTGGGTTTAGTGATATCAGACTATGTTATGCTGAATGTTTTGCAGTGATGGTGAAGCTTCACTGTGAATAAAGCAGTAACTTGTGTAAATGATGCACTAAACAGCTGCTCTTTACTAGAGTTACTGAAACAGAGAAACTCAATCCCAAATGCTCATGGTGTTTTTATCTCTCTACGCATGTGTTCACCGGCCTTTCTGTTTTTATGACATTCTGGGAATCTTTTAATAATCAATGGTCTTGGGTTGGATATTCATGTATTGAACATTAAAACACTCATAAGTCACTGATAAAATGTCTTCAGCAAATGGAAATGGACCCACTTCATATTTCAGTTCCCAAAGTTGGAGAAACTTCTATAGTGGCGAAAGGAAACTATAACAAATACGATTTCTGAGTTCCCATTTGCTCTAGTCTCTATGACATTACAGAAGAGGAAAACTGTGGAGAGATTGATTGTGTTGGTCAGAAGAAAGAAAGATATTTCTGTCACTCCCTCAGCCGCTGTGTTAGAAACACACTGCCAGCGTTAACTACTTTACTGTCATTTAATACCAACTTTTAAAAATAATCGCTTGTGATTTCTTTATTTAAAAGATACAGCGCACATTAATCAACATGAGTACAAAGTCCAACATGTAAATGTGCCAGATTTAGCCATACAGGCTAATTTTCATCTGCAGTCCATATAGCAGGTTGATGATTAAAACAATAAATGCACTGAAACAATACAATAAATACATTATATATATATATAAAACAATAGACAGAAGTAAAAGTGTATAGACACACATGCATCAACAACACATAAGCACACTATAGCGATGAATACAAACACATTATTCTGTATTATGGCAGCTGTTTTATTCTGTATATAATAATCTTTTTAATTATATAATTATAATTATTCAGAATAATCATTTAAAAATGTAATGTACATTTATAGCACAAAGTATAGCATTATAAATGCACATTTATACATCAATGAGTCAGACTGAAAACTCCTGTAATAATCTAGTGTTTTGTACACAAACAGTGTATATGTGTCTATGACTCTAAAACAGGCAATGCACAGAAATCCTGTAATTCTTAAAATGTGTTTATGACTCTTACTCAGATATGAATGCTAGCCTGACTTCGTCATTGTCACGAAACTGCTCAGAGACACGGCGGTTAAGATCCAAATGCAGCTTTAATAGGGACAATCCAGACACGTAATCCAATAAACAGGCAAAGGTCAAATACACAGGTATTATATGGAAAAGAAGCGTAAATGGATGGAGAAGCATAATTTACTACAAAGTTACGTCTTAGTTTGTGCTTATCTTGGTGAAAGCCGATTACAAATCAGCATGAAGTTTTAACATCTACTCTCGTGTAAAGGAAATCAAGCTTAGAGATAAAAGGCAGTTTAGAGATCGGCCGATAGTTAGTGCACATTTCTGAATCAAGATGAGGTTTCTTCAACATAGGTTGCACAATTGCTGGAACGACACCTTTGGCTAAAGAGCTGACAAATTTTGACAAATGGTAGAAAAGCATCCTTAAAAAGATGAGCCGGGATAATATCTAGAACCAGATCACTCCATAGTAGAGATTATATCGGCTATCTGAGTTGTAGAGACAGGTTTAAAGTGACATGGTTCAGAGAAAACAATGGAGCTTCTAATATCATCATTTTTTGAGTGACATATTTTTAAAAATGTTCACAAAGTTCAGAAGAGATAAAATATTCCTAGTTGGTGAGTTTAGAATAGAGTCAAATGGATCAAACAGGACTTTTGGTCGCTTTGCGTTGTCAGAAATTAGTTTAGAAAATAAATTTTGCCGCCTTTTCTGCTGTTTGATAGTTGATCAAACTTGATTTTAAAATGTCAAATGAAACCTGTAGCCTATCTTCTTTCCACTTTCCCTCCACTTTTCAACACTCTTGTCTGAAAGCGCCGGTGACATCATTTAACCACGGCTGGCCAACAACCTTCATCTTTTTACGCTTATCACAATTTTGACTAAGTCATAATCATGAGATTAGAATCTAAATTTTGAAATTAAAAGACAAAATTAGGACATATTATAAGATTATAATTTGGAATTATGAGAAAGTCAAAAATATAACATCAATTTATACTTTTGACTTACCAAATAATTGTACTACATACTTGTATACTAAATACACACTTTCGATGTCGTAATTTCATATTTGTGATTTACAAAGCATGATTTATTGTATTGTTATGTGGCGTAATGGGCTTCTGTCCCAGTTCTGTCATTCCCCTTGAGTGACCTGAGTTCTCCTCGTCAGCTGGGGCGTCCTGTTCTCTCATCCTCGAGACTTCACTCCTGTCTGCACCACTGAACTCGGCAGAGCAGCTCAACTCAGTCCAGAGTTCAGCAGACGCAACGTCAAGCTGATGGCGCTCTCCGTCGACAGCCTGGAAGACCATCACGGCTGGAGCAAGGTTTGCTTCCTTCAGTCTGTAGCGTCTATCTCTGAATGAAGCGCTGCTGATGAGTCTCCATGGATGATTTCAGGACATCTTGGCTTACAATAACGCGGAGTCCGGAAGCGAGTTCCCTTTCCCACTCATAGCGGATGCTGGGAGGCATCTGGTGGAGACGCTGGGCATGCTGGATCCGGAGGAGAAGGATCAGACCGGGATGCCGCTCAGCGCGCGATGCGTAAGTGCTCTGCACACGTGAAGAAAGCTTCAAGAACAGAGCAAATTACAGTAACACTTTAGTTTAGGGTCCAATTCTCACTATTAACTAGTTGCTTATTATGTCTATTATTAGGATTGGCTGTTTGTTAAGCACATATTAATGCCTTATCCTGCATGACCATATTACATCCTTAATTCTACCCAATACCCAAACTTAACACCTACATTACTGACTATTAATAAGCAGAAATTAGGAGTTTATTGAGGCAAAAGTCATAGTAAATAGTTCATTAAAATTCTGATCACAATCAAGGACTCAATCAAACCTGCACTTCCAGTCCGTCAGTGTCTGGTGTCCAGAAGCATTCAGACTCTTGTAATGTCTCCATTGCTGTCTTCATTGAAAAGGTCCTGTAAAGGCATTATAATTATCTCTGTGAAGGCCTATTTATTTTATATATGTATTATTATATATATTATTTCTTCAGCCCATGAGATCAGACTAACCGAGGCTCCTCCGCCATGTCTACTCTCCATCCTGCTTCGCATGCTTGATGGTTTACTGTATCAGAGTTGAACAGAACTGAGAAGGTTTGGGTCATTGGTTTGGACAGAGCCATCAACCCTTCACACTGCACTGATTGATTTCTTAACGTGTGCATTTTTCGTTCAGGTATTTGTGATTGGTCCAGATAAGAAGTTGAAGCTGTCCATTCTCTATCCTGCAACAACGGGACGTAACTTTGAGGAGATTCTGCGTGTGGTCGACTCTTTGCAGTTAACGGCACAGACCCGTGTGGCCACACCTGTGGACTGGCGGGTGAGAAATGTCAAGCCTGGTGTGTGTGGAGTGTGTGTGTCTGGTCCTTCATCAGTGTGTAGTGAGTGACGCTCATCTGCTGTTGTTTGAAGCCTGGAGACAGTGTTATGGTGCCGCCCAGCATCCCTGAGCAGGAGGCCGTGACGCTCTTCCCCGCTGGAGTTTACACCAGAGACCTGCCCTCCGGGAAGAAGTACCTGCGCTACACACCTCAACCAAACCCCCATCAGGAGTGAATGTGCAGACGGCGGATGTGTGGCTTCAGTGATGCTGTGTGTGTGTGTGTGTGTGAGCAGCTGTTCGTAAAACACCAGCGCTGTTCTCAAAGCAAGAGGCAAAGTCCTCACATGTTACAGACGCAAATTACAGATTTAATAAACATCACTGACACTTACAACAAAATAAAAATAAACAATACAATTAAAATTTGTGTTTTTACATTTTAAATGTTATGTTTTATTTATTCAAACTATGTATTTCATCAAATTTTGTATTTCATAAATAACAAATTTCTACTTTAAATAGTTCAATATAGTTCAAGCATAGATTTTGAAATGCATATATCTCACATATACAGTATACATCTCGTGTGTGTGTCAGGGCTCTCAAGTGCCAATGATTGAGCGTGATAGTCACTCATTTCGGTGTTTTGTCACGCACTCTCGCCACACATTGTATTTCTCACGCAGAAAAACTATTTATTATATATTTAATATGCCTGCAGCGCCCCGAATGTCTCTGGCCGCTTCTCTCACTGTGGACCCGGCAGGAATCAAGCGCGTCTCCCTGGAGTTCTTACTCGAGCCTGATCAGCCAATCAAAGAAAAGAAAGGGGCTACACAATAGAGTGCCGAAGTTACGACGTCACTCTGTAGGCCAAAACGCGGAAGTGAGTTAGCATTTTAGCATTACGGTTCCCTCGCTCTAAAGCCTATGGGATTTTTGAATGGGCTTTTGCTAAATCGCCTGAAATAAGGTCTGTGGTGAACAAAGCCTCTAAATACTTTCACGTTTTGATCTATGACATAGAACACACAGTTATAACCTGCTTGTGGTTTTTTAAACTTTATTGTGTCTGATGTTTTTTAAAAACTTTATATAGGCTTCAAAATGTATAAATTTTGGATTAACTTGTAAAGATTATCTTGCTAGACAAAACCTGTAAGGGTCACAACTCTTGAACACAGATCTTATTTTTTGATTTTCCAAAAGTCTATGGGGAAAATGCATTGCTTTTCGACCGAGGGAACCCATGCGCCGCTAACTTCCGAGTTGTCCTACAAAGTGACGTCATCAGTTCGGCACTCTATAGCCAATCAGAAAATAGCACTATTGTATCTGGGTAAGATTTAACCCAACAACCTCTGAAAAAAAAGCATATCCTGGAATTGTTCACGTGATTCTACTACAACATCTTCGAAAGTTTCGTTCCCCCACAGAGGAAACCACTGGAGCTCGAGCATCACTATAACACTGAGTCACTCATGATCTCCTGTTTTAATGTTACAACAAACTCACAACCTGTTTGACACAAAATGTTTCCCAGATAATTAGCATCAGTTTTTCACGAGTATCTGTAACTTAGCCAACAGTTTTACAGCCTGTTCACTGACAACACCTGCTCAGAACTAGTCATATTTACATTAGCAATCGATGACTGACATATTATAAACATTTCTCTCCAATTAGCACTAAATAAATTAAAGTGTTGATGTCGATGTTATAGGTCACTTATAAAATCATGTCATATTTTATAATTATATCCTGGCCATGGATGCATTAATCATGGCATCTTTCTTCCAAAGATGTCAGGTAAAAAAGCAATTAAAGTTCCCATGAACCGGAAGTTGCAAACGACTTTTCTCCATTGTTGTGACATATTTCCGAGAGAAACGGAAAACTAAGTGAGGCAAAATAATGGGTGTGGCTTTTTTTTCAACTAGCACCTGATTGGATCTAGAACAGTAGGTGTTTCATTCAGAAATGGAGGCAGATCTTAACGCAAGTTTACAATCGGTTGTTGAGGATTACTCGCCGCCTGAAACACCGCCAGCAGAAGGAGGAGGAGGAAGATGAAGAAGAACAGGAGCACACAGAGGATCATTTCGTCACGGGGAATCAGACCGTACATGTTTGAGCCGTTACATGCGGAGGGTTCGAATGGTCACCTGGACATGGCGGCTAAGGAGCAAGTTCACACTCGAGAACATCTCGATGTGTCCCAATGGTAACACTAATTGGAATTATGAATCTATTTTTATTTGCTATTACTGCTGCAACTTTAACCCTTTAGACGCCAGAGGTTTTTTCCTAAAACGTTCGATTTTGAAATCTTCAAAAGGCTATATCTTAAAAATGATAAAATATAGACTTTCTGTAAATTAGAGAAATATTAAGGATGACCCAAAGTTTATGTAGGGATTATACTTTCCCATCTAATTAGCATATTATGACGTCATATGGTGGCGGCCATCTTGGATTATAGAAGTTTCATAAAAAGTCATGTTTAAATGAGAAAATGCAGCACTTCTTTCCCCCCAAAATGTCCATCACCTTCTGTATGCTATATTGCACAATACTGAATGCTCATGTAAATAGTAAAATCATTACTAATAAATGGTAGAAACAAACCGAATGCATGTAGCGGTTGGCCTTTTGCTGTAGAGATTTTCCACTTACTACATACAGTCAGGCACTCTGATTCCATGTATGGGGCACATCTATATTATTCATATGACACACAAACACAAGTAGACAAGACCTGTTTAGTTCAAAAGCTCACTCGCCACGGCAAGGCACAGATCATGAGTGAGATGACGAGACAAGACAAGAGACAATGTTAGTATTTTTTTTTCTTTTTGAGTTTTTTTTTTTTTTTTTTTGCTGACAAAGAAGCACACATCACAAGGACATGAACACACACACACAAAAAAAAACACATTTTACACTGCTAAAATGTCAGGGAAATAGATAGTAAATCAACAGTGTAAATCATAACTAAAAAATGGCAGACAAAAAAAAAAAGAATTTATGTAGCAGGCCTTTTGCTGTAGAGATAATGACTCCCTATCCATCCAGGTGACATTTCTTGTAGTGTTTCATGGTGTGGTACCTCTCATTGCAGGGCACAACACAAAGAGCCACCCCACACTGTATTTTGTCTGATGGCGGCCTTTAGGGCGGGTCCGAGCTGAACAAACTACACAATCTGGGTAACCATCAGCCTGGCAGATAAAGTGGCGCTCACTGAGTCTCCCTTTGTTGCTCTCTTTCCTAGAGAAGCCTTCCAGTAAAGCAGTGATGACATCATGCATGAAGACTTTCAGGGGCTTGTGAGGAGCAGCAGTGCAGCGCCAGTAAATGATGTGGGCATTCACCATGCTCACACTGAGAATGGCATTGAAAATACTGTTTCCTTGACCTATGGGGAAAGAGGTCTTCATTCTCTGGTCTGCTGTGTCGACACCCCCCATGAAAGAATTGTAGTCATCAACACAAACAGGCCTATTTATCTCCCTATAGCCAGTATCAGTGTGTTTGGTTCTGATGCGCTTCCTGACACATGTGTAGAGAGCATTGTGAGGCGCTTTGTATCATGCCATGCACAAGCTAGCATTTTCCCTTCCTCATGAAGACTGAGTCATCTCCCTTGCTCAACAGTAAATGTTCACTAGTTAGGCCCTTTGGCATCCCCTTCCTCTTACTGCTGACAGTCCCACACAAACCCGAATTCTTGCTTGCCAGCTCATCTTCTATGGTCCATGTACACCTCATTCCCTTTCCCTGTATACGGGACCATCAGCTCACGGACAATAAGGTGTGTAGCACCGAAATCGCTCACATTAGGACTACTTTGTCCAGTATACATGGACCACTGTAGCACATAGCCTGACTTGGCTTTACTCAGAAGCTACAAAGTAGCTATGTTTGTAGCCATATTTGTGAGACCATTAGAATAATTTTTAACCAAATTGTCGTGAAAGATTTATTTATTCTTATACTTAACAATTTTTTTGTTCATATTAAGTGTTTGTGGAGTAAAGTCATGTTTGTATATAAGAAGCCAACATAAAAGATTCTGTCTATAAAAACTGGATAAGTTAATGTGGAGATTATTAACCTCAAAGTCACATTTTAAAAGAAACTCCAAACCATCAACTTTTCAGAAATAAGATTCGGAATGATATACCATAGTATATCAGTGCTTAATATAATATTTAATACAGTTCAACTTGAAAATTGTATTAGAAGTACCAAAATCAAGCACATTTAAACCTCCTTGATTATACGAATTACATCAATTATTTTTATTTAAATAGACCTTATTCGCAAATATCGGAAGTAGCTAACCGCGGCCATATTGTTGACATGACATCTGTCCTGCTGCCCTTAGCAGATTTGAGTTGAGGGGGAGCTTCATCTCGTCGGTATCAAGAGAAGATAAGCTTGATTGGTGTGTGGACCCACATCAAAATTAAATAATAGCATTAAGTAAAGATCCGTCCTTATTGCCAGCCGTAACCTATCCGGATATTTATAACGATCTCGTTCAGTATCCGTATAACGTACAAACTACAATTTACCTCAACAAGGCAACATGAACGACACTCGTCTCATTCGTGGAGGTGGAAAAACAAGTGCTTTGTGACATGCAAGATTTGTTGTATTAAAATGTAAGTGCTAAAGAAAAGGCATGAGAGTCGGTTGTTTTGGTCAATTTTAAGTTTTCATTTAAATTGTTTGTGATTTTAATATAAGTACATGGTTACATATTTGACCACTTGCTTTTGCAACTTAATATATAGAAGTAATGCATGGGATAATTGGCTTACGTTGTTGAAATAGAGAGTATGTGTTAAAATAACAATAGTGAGTAGCGGGGTGTTTGTGGTTCAGCCGTGGATCAGTTATGCACTGCAAACGCAGCATATTTAAAGCACTTGCGTCCTTCTGTGCCGTATACACACCGCACACGCATTGCACACGGATTATGTGTGAAACCTGTGGTAAAATGATGGGAACAGACTTTTCTGTGGGGAGTTGGCTGAAAGTTTAGCCTATAGCTAGCCTCTCCTGCGCTGTCTCAACCCTGTCTCTTTCCCTTCACGTTTTCTGACAGTCAGTATCTTATCGCATAAAAACGACTCTGATGTTCTTATTGCTGTTGTTAGAACAGCCGTGTATTACACAACACCATCACGCTGTTTAAACAAAACAAAGAAACAGTGATAATATCATGAATAACGCTACCTCGCTTGTCCATTGACAGACTGACAGTTTCCATGGTTTCTATGTCAACAAAATGGCCGCCGCAAACACTGGGGATATTCAAATGAAATGACCCATCATAACATTGATCAGCTCTACCAAACTTGATTGTCTTTTTTCATGAATAAACAAACACTGTTATGTTGTCTTGATTGATACTGTGAAGCAGC